AACTGGGTGTGGCTGACGCATGCGGGCGGCAGCACTGGGGCCTTCGGTGGAGCTCCCTATGGGGCCACGAAACGTGTGAGGGGTGTTGCACTGGGGCCTTCGGTGGAGCTCCCTATGGGGCCACGAAACGTGTGAGGGGTGTGCCGAATTGGGTGTGGCTGACGCATGCGGGCGGCGGCACTGGGGCCTTTGGTGGAGCTCCCTATGGGGCCACGAAACGTGTGAGGGGTGTGCCGAACTGGGTGTGGCTGACGCATGCGGGCGGCAGCACTGGGGCCTTCGGTGGAGCTCCCTATGGGGCCACGAAACGTGTGAGGGGTGTGCCGAATTGGGTGTGGCTGACGCATGCGGGCGGCAGCACTGGGGCCTTCGGTGGAGCTCCCTATGGGGCCACGAAACGTGTGAGAGGTGTGACGATGATGGTGATGATGACGATGATGGTGGGTGATGACGATGATGATGATGATGATGATGATGATGATGATGATGATGATGATGACGATGATGATGATGACGATGATGATGATGATGCTGGGAGGAGGGAGGAGGGGGAAGAGGAGGAGGAGAGGAGAGGAGAGGAACGCGGGGCACCGTCTCTTCAAAACGAGGACCCAACACCACAGGATGTTGGGAAAAAAACCTGGTGCTGATAGGCTGTCTTAAGAGGGTTTCAGTGGCTGCCGCCGTTGGGCCTGCAGCAGCTTGATGATTTCTTTGCGCTTGTTGAACAGGAACTGCGTTGGCCCTGGCAGGCCCTGGTTGAGCTTGCCACGCTCCAAGTCAGAGACCAAGACTCCGACCGAGCGATAGGCCCGCTGGCATGGGTTGTCAATTTTGGGGGGCGACTGCGGACCTCGGGCCGGGCGGGTTGGACGAATGAGCGAGCGGGGCCGTTGGACACGGCCCTCGCGGGCGGTTCCGCGCTGCAAGTTGCCCTTTTGGGATTGTTCAGAGATGGGCAAGCCGCCCGCTCTTCTCTGCCTGGCCATCAGAGTGCTAGCTTACTCTGAGATGCAAAGGTTGTTATGATAGTCTCCTCTAGGGCCTGGTTCTGGACCGCGCTTTGGAACTTGAATTTCCTCCGTGCTGTCTGGCCCTGGATATGGCCACCAGGATTTTGAAGGAGACAGGTGGATTTTCTCTTGCTGTGCAGCCAGGTATATCCCTCATCCCAGGCAGCAGCGGTGCTGTAGATGTAAGCAGGGCGGGCCTTCACTTCGTCTGCAGCAGAATAGCCACTGGCAGGCCCTTGCCAACGTTGCACACTTGGGTCGACGACATAGCGCAGTGCATGTACGGTAACAGTGGCAGAGTTTTTGCTGAGCTCTCGACGCTGGGCCTAGATTTGCCCCAGGGCCTGCGCGCTATTGCTCCGAAATCGGCCATCATCTCCTCGTTATGGGCGTCGGCCGCGGGACACAAGGATTCCTGCAGCGGGCAAGGCATCAACGCCCAGGCCAAACGAGTAGCAGCGGATCTAGGCATTGATCGTGGCAAGGTTAAGGCTTAGCGACCCAAGCAGGCCACCAGGAGTGCTGGGGACAACCGTAGGTTGCTGAGGCTCGGTAAACTGGCTAAAGGCAACAGGCTGAGCAAGAAATGGGCGCGAAAAATGGCTGTGACCTCGGCTTTTTCTAAAGCTAGATACTCAGACAAGGTCCATGCCCCCCCACCCAGTGTTGTTCTGGGTTGGCGGAGAGCGCTGGGTAGGCTTACTGGGGGAGTCTATAAGAGGGGTAGGTGCCTGATCACGCTTTTAGCGCTGGAGTGCGGTCGGAGAGATCCAGCCTTCTTTGCGATGTGTGATACGATCGAGGCTTGGTTTCAAAATTTAACCCACGCTACTTTCGATGCCGAGAAGAAGACGAGGCGAGTCTGGCGTGAAGTTGCAGCTGACTTGGAACCCAAGACAGCAGGTAACATATAGCGAAGCGTGGGCACCCCAGTGGCCGCCACGATCGCCATTCTGCTGGATTTGAGTTGGAAGCCTTGGGGACCCTGGGCTTGGGAGCGACCTGGGTGAACGATTTGCGATCTCAGAAACCAAGCTCAGGCGAGGCAAGGTTGACCTCTCCGGTCGTTTCGAGGCCCTGGCCCAAAGCAAGGAACGACAACTCTGGGAGGCTGCTGCAACTAACTCGTGGAGCGGGTCTGGCTTGGAGCTAGTACCAGACCTGTACGATGTCAAATTTCAGTTGAGGACGCTGGCCAAGAATGGCAAGCACGAAGGGAGAGGGATCCCGCGGGCTGTGGCTACTGGGGACAGGCGGCCACGCGCGCGGCTCCAAACATGCGGTCTCACCCAGGACAGCTCCTGCAAGAGATGTGGTGAGTTGGTTGAGTGTGACGTGCACCGTGCTTGGGGCTGTCCTACGAATGGCGAGTTCTCCAAGGTCTCAGACTTCGTGAGAAGGCGGGCCCTTGCGGATTGGGAGAATAATCCGAGCTTCTGGCTGCGAGGGCTGACGCCGAGCAGCTGGACCGCCGTGCCCCCTCCCCCCGAGGGCGATGAGATCCAGACCTACGGGGGGTCCCTGAGGGAGGCTATGGTGGACGGCTTTGTGTTTGGAGGGGGAGATGCTAGTGGGGGGCCTGACACTCAGGACCCCGCCCTCCGTAGGGTGGCTTGGTCTTGGGTTGTGCTCAGGGGCCTCCGAGCTGGTGGACAGTACGACCCCAGAGAGCTCCAGGCCCACGCAATTAGTTTTGGTAACGTGCCTGGATGGCGCCAATCGGTCAACAGGGGGGAAGCGATGAGTTTCCTACAATTCTTGAAGGCTGTCCTCCCTGTTGCAGACGGCTTCTTTGTGACATGTTCTACTTATTCTGTGCAGAAGTATGATGAAGTTCGTTTCGAAATGTTTCCGAAGTCTCACCTAGATGTGTGGCAGGGTGTCAAAGAAGTGTTGGCCGAACACCCGTCCAACGGAGTCGTGCTAGCCAAAGTAGAAAGCCACAGGAGGGTAGAGGACATCAGCGACCTGGGAACCGCCCCCTTGATTTTCGTTTGGATGATCTGGCTGACCGCATAGCGAACCAATGGGCTGGTAATATTTGCGTGCCTGTTTCTGTCAGAGACAGCAGGTTCCATGCCCAAGCGATTGCCTTCCAAGTTCGCCAACACCTCGGCCACAATCTTTCAGCATCGATCGAAACCGACGGTAACCGTGTGCCCTGAGAGGCGGTTTTGAGACCCAGAGGATGGAGATCAAGATTCAGCTGCTGCTGACTGCTCACCAGCCTGTGTGGGGGAACGGTTCCCAGGGTCGCTGTTATTGCTGTCGGGGATGTGCGCCATACAAGTTGGCAGACAAGATTTTAACGACCCCGTGACACCAGGGCTTGTTTCAATGAGTGATGTTGGTGCCCACGAAGAGCACAGTCAATGGCACAGATTGGCATAGCTCTCACACCTTGGCCTATCACGAGGAGTCCGGGAGCGCAGTTTGTCTGTCCTGTGGCTGTGTGGCCACCATGCAGTCAGGATGTTAGCAGAAGTATGCACTTCCCAGCTGGATCAATATGGCAGGCGTCAGTTGAGGAGAGTGCAACAAGGTCTCCCACCTGCCTCCTCTGAGCTTGCCCAGATGCAAAGGGCCCAGAAGAAGGTCTCGCCTTAACTGTTCAACTCTGCCTAACGCTGGAAAGAACACAACAAACGCCTCCTCCTCCTCCTGCTCCTTCTCATGATTCGTCATAACGTCGACCCACAAAGGGCTCGGCCCATTCCCTGGTACTCGCTTTTCATTTTGAGCTGCTGCTTGGCAGCCCCGAAGCCTGGTAAGGGCCCCTGGAAGCCGAAATAATCGAAACCCTTTCGTCGTGATTGTCCGTGGCTCGAGGGGGTCTGGGACCTCCTCCATCCCTTCTCCTTATAACTAATTCTTTCCTGCCGCAACACGGGACCTGTCGGTAGGGCGGGCAGGGCTTTTCGCCTGAGACTTCCTCATCACTTCTGATCGTTGAGCTGAACACATGCAACAGCGTCACGGATGGAGGGCGGTATCTTTTCAAAGTGTGGTTCTCGCCTAAGCGCCGCGCGCATTCGTCTTAAGGGTTTGAAGGAGTCCTATTGCTGGCGTCCCAGAAATGGCGGCTTGCCACGATGTAGGGCTGTCAGGGCGCAGCAGTCGCATGGATTCGCGGTGATGACGTCCCAAGAAGCGCCTTCTGGTGCGATTCAGGACAGTCAGGACGCAACAGTAACACTGCGTAATGGCACGATTCAGGATTGTCAAACAGTTGTCTTCCAAAGGTGCACTTCCTTAAGTCAAAATGAACCCTTGTAGGGACACATGACATGGGGAACTTGGAGGGAGGGTTCTCTGCAACGTCGTTGGTGAGCTTTGGGTTTAAGCTGGCCATCCGCCTCCTCCTCCCTCCTCCTTCTCCACCTCCTCCTCCTCTGTGCTCCTCCTCCTCCTCCTCCTCCTCCTCCTCTTCCCTCCCCCTCCTCCTCCTCCTCCTCTTCCCTCCTCCTCCTCCTCCTCCCTCCTCCTCCTCCCTCCTCCTCCCTCCTCCCCCGTCCGCCCCTCCTCCGCGGGAGAGCAGCCCCGCCTCACCCCCTCCCCGCTGCTGCCGCGGGGGGGGCCGCGGGAGACGCCCGAGGGTCTCCAGCCGCCGAGACTGGGCCAACCTGTGCACCCGCCTCTCCGCAGGCCGCAGGGGCGCACGAGGACATACTAGTGCACTACGCGTCCTCCTCGGGGCGTGCGTCCGACCCGAACATAGAATACAAACATGTTGTAGGATATATTTTCTGGGGCGGTACGGCCAGACGGCGCCCGCCACGAAGCATATACATGTGTATATATATATGCATAGTTATATGTACATATACACATGTATCTATTCATGTGTATATATACAAGCATACACAAAGGTGTATATGTATGTCTATATAGATATACGCGTGTATTATTTCCCTGCGCCGGCGCACGCGTCGCCCCGGGGGGGGGGCTAACATAGCTTTCATGTGCTAGGGTGACGCCGATCACTGCTCAGATGACGTCGGGCTCCAGCTTCGCCTCCCACATCTCGCCCAACAGTGCTAGGGCCCCCTGCCACTGCTTGCCCTTCTCGCACGCGCTGATCCCAGTGCTGTAGGTGACCAACGTATGCGCTTGGAGCAAATCCGCAGGTGACCTGGCAGGGGAACGCGGCTGGGCCGACAGGCGGCGACAGCCTATTGTGGCTTTCTTGCGCCGTTCTGCAGCCTTGCAGGAGGTTCAGGGAGCACCTGGAGGACCCCCAAAACTGCCCTCACGCGTCTCGCGGCCCCATAGGGAGGGAACCCCAGCGAAGGCAATGCATGCCAGCGTTCGCGGGCGCCCACCGCGCCCATTTTACCGCGCCCTTCGCGCGATTCGCGACCCCGCTGGGAGCCCCGCCGAAAGCCCAAATGCCAGCGCTCACACGCGCCCAGCCCCATGAGGAGATGCCCCGAAGGCGATGCTCCCAACGACGGCACTCGCAACTGCATGTAGTTGGGCCCTTCGCCAGGATAATTCTACATGTTCAGGATGTTCGGAGCGCTCGATTTTCAAGCCCCTATTAAACATACGGGTGTGTATATATATATATATATATATATGTGGTCGCCCCCCCAGGATCATACCTTTTCGTCTCCTCATCCTCGACTGCTTCTTTTCCTTTGTTTTCCTCTCTCTCTCTCTTTCTCTCTCTCTCTCTCTTTCTGCATCTCTCTCTCTCTCTCTGTCTCTTTCTGCCTCTCTCTCTCTATATATATTTCTGTCTCTCTCTCTCTCTCTCTCTACGCAATGCTTGGCGCCACCGATGCAAGGAAACGCTGTGTGTATACATATATATATATATATGTATACACACATCTACATTCAGATCCAGCATGCGCGCGCGACAACGCACGCTTGCGCACTTCGCCGTGCATCTTGCAACGAACTCTTGGTAATGCAATTTCTGATAAGCGGATGCGCGCGCGTACTGCGCCTTTTGCAGAGGCGAGGGGGAGGGGGGTGCCGGCCTGCCTGGGATGGTACGAGTTCTTATTCAGGTTGGACGATGGGGCAGAACCGCATGCACATTGCGATGCGACAGAAGAGGGGCCGTGAAGTTGGGGGGGAGATAGATTGTTTGATTGTTCCGAAAAGAAATTTCACCCTGTAAAACTTGAGCTTGACAACTCCACTGGTTTGCAAAACCTGTGCGGCGGTGAGTGCGATGACTGCTCGGCGGTGGCTGGCGCATCGCCGCGGCCGCGCTACCGCGCACGCTCGCGCGCCCAGCGGTCAGGTAGTTTGGCGCGACGGACGATGCCGCGGTGGGTGCTGACCGTTAGGGACTTCCCAGCGGGGGCGTCAGTCGAGTCGGCGACTCGGGCGGGCGCGGTATCCTGGCAACGTCGCAACCGGTAGACGCGATGATGGTAGTAACGATGCTGATGGCGATGGTGACACCGACGACGGCAAGGCCAGTCACGGCGCCGACGGGGATCACGCCGACGATGATGACGGCGTCCTCGCGTCGGTGATAAACGTTTTGAAAGGAGTTCGACATGCGCGCGCGGGCGACGCGCGAGAGTGGCCCGCGCGATGTGATTTGACACGTGTCGTGCCCCCCAGCACGCGCGCAAGGGCATCCGAATGATTTCGACATGCGGCGCGAGAGGCCCGCTTGGCAGAATAGAATGACCATGTGACAATACCCATGGTTTGCCAAAGAGTTCGCAGGAGCGCGAACGCGACTGAAGTTGCCATACCATGTGTTCAGATGTGCTTCGGGACAGCTGGTTTTCTAAACCCTCACGAAACCTACGGCTTTTCAAGGATGTCTGCATGCACGCGCGTTCACGCGCGCGTGTGCACTGCGCCTCGTTTTCTTGCAAGGGACTCTTGCGACACAACCCGCGCGCAGGCGTTTGAACGACTTCGACATGCGCGCGCGAGAGGCACGCTGGGTAGCATGTAACGAACATGTTGCAGAGACTCTGGTTTTATGACGGACCTGCGATAGCGCGAGTGCAGGTTAGATTATAAACCTGTTCGTTGCGAAACCATTTATTTTATGTGTGTTCGAGGCACTTGGTTTGAAATCCTTACGAAACCTAAAATGCTTGAAGGATTTCCGGATACGCACGCGACGACGCGCGCGCATGCACTGCGCCCCTGATTTTTATAAGCGAATGCGGCGCATAATATGTGTTTCCGGAGAATATACTTGTTTAGCTCGAATAATACGATGTCGTAGTTAGGATGACCGAAGGGGGGAAGGATCGTATGTAAATTTCAATGCGCAAAAGGGACCCGCTCAGTCGGGGGGGGGGGGCGGGGGGGATATCCTATTCTTTACGAAAAGAGCTCTTTTAGAATAGAGAACCAATGTGGTCCAACACACGTGGTGCAATGTATCTGGTGCAATTATGCGAGGCCGCGACGAGGCGGCGACGGCGACAACGCACCCGCCAGACCGCCACCCCGGCAAAAACGACGGGCGGCGACGAGGTGGCGACGGGGCGGCGACGGCGATAGGAGCCGCCAGACCGCCACTCCGTTCCAGACGATGGGCGGCGACGAGGCGGCGACGTGGCGGCGACGTTGACAACATAGCCGCCAGACCGTCGCACCGGCCCAGAAGACGGGCGGCGACGAGGCGGCGACGGGGCGGCGACGGCGACAATATAGCCGCCAGACCACCACACCAGCCCAGTTTAGAACAGAAATAAAAACCCCTAGGTGTAAGCACTATTTGGGGAACCTACAGGGGACCTTCGATGCTTGGGCTGGGTGGCCCTGCTGGGAGCGCTCTTGGAGCGCTCTTGAGCGCCCTTTGGGGGGGCGTTCCGGCCGCCTGGAGGCGCTCTTGGGCTACCTCGGGGCCCTCCCGAGACCGTCTGGGCGCCATCTTGGGCCATCTTGAGGCCATCCTCGGCCGCATTGGAGACATCTGCGGCGAACTTGGAGGCCTCTTGGAATTGCCTGGGCCGTCTGGGAGGCGCAGGCCCTCCTGGCGGCCCTGCCTGGCTTCGCCACGATTGGCAGGTTGCACGCGCTGCTGCCGGCACTGTAGGATAGGAGACGTCGGGGTACATCTTCGCCTCCTGCATCTCCCTGAACAGCGCCAAAGCCCGCTGCCACTGCTCGCCCGTCTCGCACGCGCTGATCCCGGCGTTGTAGCTGACGAGCACTGCGGTTACAGACTCGGGCTGGCCCGTGACCTACCAGTCACAAAACATGTCCAGGATGTCACGTTGGACCAGGGCAGAGATGTTGCCGAAATGCTTTGCTGATGACGTTGCGCCCGAATTCCGTCTCTGCAGTTGTTGGCAGCAGCTGCAGGGTGCTGCTGGCTGCGGCATGTCGATGCTGCTGCTTGCTCTTTCTTGCTGTGCTGCCGTTGCCTGCTGCGGTCTGCTGGAGCTCGCTGTTGCTGCTTGGTGCCCCTGCTGTATCATGTGCTTCTGCTTGGCGCCCGTGCTGTAGAAGAAAACAGCAGCTCGTGAGTGGACAGAGGAGGGAGAGGAGGAGCAAGGAGCGAGGAGTCAGGGCCGATGGCGAGGTCGGGGAAGCGAGCAGTGATCCGCGGGGAGCACGGGCGCGAGAAGGGAGGAGCGACGGCCAAGGAGAGAGAGTGGCGAGGAGGGATGAGCGGGGGACGAAACGGAGAGGGGGGAGGCAGACGCCCAGTGGCCAGGAGGGAGCCGCGAGTGGCCGGGCAAGAGAGGTGGAAGCCGCGATCAGGATTGAGTTGGGCGTGGCTTAATGGGGGGGTCACAAATGGGGGGGTCAGAAAAGGTCCCCTTTCGTGCCCCTTTCGGGCCCCTCCGGAGCCCCAGGGGGCTCGTTTAGGTACCGTTTGGGTACCTTTCGAACCACCCTCGCCCCCCCCCCCATTTATGACCCCCCCATTACGCAGCGCCCAATTGAGGAGAGAGATGCCAGGAGCCGGGAGCATGGAGGCGAAGGGCGAGGAGAGAGCGGGGAGGAGCAGCACACGCGCGTGTCTCGGTGGCCTCTCGGCGCGCGCGTGGCCGAACAGCTGGTGATCCTCTTGGGTCGCTCAGTGGGGCTCTCTTGGGTGGCCGGGGCGGTCGCAAAGCTCTCCGTGGAATCTTCTCGCGGCAGCCGCTTCCAGGCAGTTTGTTGGGGACTCTCTTGGCCCCCTTCGGGGCCTCTTGGGACCTGAGTCGGGGGTCTTGGAGGCCCCCTTGGGCTTCCAGGGGGCCTCTTGGGGGACTGGGCCTCCTGAGGCTTCTGGGGGGCTCCTGGGGCGTCTGGCGGCCTCGGGTGTCCTCTTGGGGCGGAGGGCGCGACATGTCAGTGCGAATTTCTTCTCTTCTGGCCCTCTTGGGGCCCTGCTGGGCAGCCTTGGGCGCCTCTCGGGTCGTCTTCGGCGCCCTCATGGGCCGCCTGGAGGCCCTCTTGGGGGCACGTTGGGCCGTATTTGGGCGATATCGGGAGCCTCTTGGGCCGTCTTGGAGCGTCGGAAGCCCGAAAAGGCGAGACCGCCCAAGACGTTGAAACACTCATAAGAAATCAGCGATGTTGGCCTCTCGGGGCTGTCGTGTGGGGCCTCTTGGGGATCCTCTTAGATCCCTCTTGGGCCGTCTTGGGGCCCTGTTGGGCCGTCTGAAGGCTATGTTGGCGACCTCTTGGACCGTCTGGAGGCCCTTCGGGTCATCGTGGGCAGTCTTGGGGCCATCTGGGACTTTCTGGAGCTTTTCCGCAAGCCCCATGAGGCTCTCCAAGCGCGCCCTGGAGCTCCTACCCCCACTCGGTGCCCAGACCCTTCTCGCACGCATCTGCCCCGAGAGGCTCGACTTGATCGCGATGGGCCACCGTGAAGCAGCACAGAAAGTCACAGGAGTCTCAACAAGCCCAGCATCTGGAAGAACGAGCTTGTTCGCGACATGTGCAAACTTCTTTTGACACTAAGCGGCTTGCCTGTCTGGCCCAAGGAATATGAAGGACTTTCCCAGGCGTTGCGCCAAGCGATCTGCTGTTACCGTTTAGCGCCGTCGCCCGGCTCTAGTGACTTGGGAATTTGGTCATCCGTGCGCGGTTTGCCTTTGACCGCTTTTCCGAAGTGGACCGCGTCCATCGGCGCCGATCGAAAGTGCGTTTTTCCCGAGATGCTTGCCAAGAAACTTTTGGAACCCTCTGGAACGATTTGGGTGAGCAGCTTCTGGTAGCCCTTCTGCGAGGAACTATCAAACATGTTTTGAGGCACGCCTTAGGGCCATGTTGGAGCCCTCTTGAAGGCCCTCGGGAGCACGTCGGGCCCTCATTGGGCTCTCATGGGACCTCCACGAGCTGTCTTTGGTCTGTTCAGGGCCTCGCAAGGCCCTTCTGGAAAGTCTCGCATTCCTCGCGCGCGCTGGGCCCAGGATTGCAGTACTGCTGACGTTGAGCTCCAGCTTTGCCCCACCGACCACGAGCAGCGCCAATGCCCGCTGCCACTGCTCGCCCCTCATGCACGCGGTGATCGCAGCATTGTAGCTGACTCGTGCGAACCAGGTGGATCAAATCCACCGTGTGCTGAACGTGGGGCTCGCAGGCCGTAGGTTTTCATCCACAGCCTGCCATCGCTCCGACGTCAATTTCCCGTGCATGTTTTTGCTGATGATCCAGGATGTTCCCCGATGGTCCTCGCCAGCAAAAACGCGCACACCTCCGAGCGACGCCAAGACAGAGCAGGGCGTCGAAGCGTAACAGCTCGTGGAGATCCCCGAAAGGACGAGGTGAGGAGGAGGAGGACGACGAGGAGGAGGAGGAGGAGGAGGAGGAGGAGACGGAGAATGAGGGGGAGGAGGAGGAGGGGGAGAAGGGGGAGGAGGAGGAGGAAGGAGGAGGAGGAGAAGTAGGGAAGAGAGAGGAGGAGAACGAGGAAGAGGAGGGAGGAGGGGGAGAAGGAGGAGGAGGAGGAGGAGGAGGAGGAGGAGGAGAGGAGGAGGAGGAGGGATGAGGGAGGAGGGAGGAGGGAGGGAGGAGGGAGGAGGGAGGAGGAGGAGGAGGGAGAGGAGGGAGGAGGAGGAGGAGGAGGGAGGAGGGAGGAGGAGGAGGGAGGAGGAGGAGGGAGGAGGGAGGAGGAGGGAGGAGGAGGGAGGAGGAGGAGGAGGAGGAGGAGGAGGAGGAGGAGGAGGAGGAGGAGGAGGATGGGGAGAAAAGGAGGACGGGGGGGAGGAACAACGAGGCAGGCGGACGGCCTCGGAACGCCCGCGCGCGCCGCGACAACGAGTCCGTGGAGGCGGGGGGGGGATGCCGTGGGTCCCCGTCGTGCCGAGCTGCGCTGCTTTTTTGTTGGGCCTGCGCCTCTGCATCAGCCGCCCCTGGTCAGGGATGCAAGCGGCGTGAAACTCGCCGAACGGAACAGGATCCCGACCCCCGAATCGTGCACACCCAGCGGTGCCGAGCTGCGCTGCTGCTCTCGACGCCGCGCGAAACGCCCAACCTTGCACGATCGGCGACTTGGAGATAGCGAGATCACTCCACCTCAACCGGCTCTGGATCAGCGTCGGCGTTCGAGCCCCTGACGCCAGCGCCGATGTCGCCGCCGCTCCGAAGCGACGCAAACCTTGCGCACCCCTCCTCCTTTTCGCTGCCCGGGGAAGAGAGGGCCGAGCACTTCGTCCTCGAGGTGGCGCGAGGCGGGGCGGGGATCGCAAGGAGGAGGAGGAGGAGGAGGAGGAGGAGGAGGAGGAGGAGGAGGAGGAGGAGGAGGAGGAGGAGGAAGGGAGGAGGAGGCGAGGAGGAGGAGGGAGGAGCAGGGAGGAGGAGGAGGAGGAGGAGGAGGAGGAGGAGGGAGACGGGAGCGAACGTCCTGGCGGGCGCGCAGGTGCAGTCCCCCCTGCTCCGAGGCGTGGTCCGGCGGATCCCCTGCGTGACGGGCGCCGCCGGCCTCCCCGCCCTGGGGGGGGCCTGCCTCCGCCCGCACACGCGGGGCGTCCCGCACGCGGGGGGGGGCGGGGAGGCCGCCACAGGGAGGGCGCTGGGATCCGCGGGGGGGGGGGCGGGGCGGTCCTGGGCCACCTTCCTTCTCCTGCCTCGTCCTCCCTGCCCTCGAAGGTTTCCTCGCTCCTCGAAGGTTTCCTCCCTCGTCCTCCCTACCCTCGAAGGTTTCCTCGCTCCTCCCTCCTCCCTGCCCTCGAAGGCCCTGCCTCCTCCCTGCTCGTCGCGCCGGGCTGCGAGCGGGGGGGGCCGCGGTGCGCCGCCCTGGCCGGGCACCAGCGCTCCGCCACGAGAGGTGGTTCTCTTGCCATGGGGCGCACGCTCTCTGCACGTGGCCCTGCATATCGCCTCGTCGCGACACCCGAGGCCTCCTGCGGGGGCCTGTCTGTGGGGCCACTCCTGGGATGCTTTGGGTGTCTCTTAAGGGCCGTGTTCTGGGGCATCTTCGGGTCCACATGCCAGCTTTTCTGGAGCATCTGGACGGCCTCATGCGGTATTTGGGGCGCCTCTGGGGCCGTTACCAGGCTGTCACCCAGAGTCCCTTCTGGAGGGCAGCCCAGGAAGCTAATTTTGCAATCGCCAGGCTCTCACAGGCTCTGTGGGACTCTCGTAGGGCCGTTTTGGAGGGCACTTGGGGCTCTTTGCTGCCGTCTTGGGGCGCTCTTGGGCCATCTGGGGGCCCTTATGGGCTGTCAAGGGCTTCTCTTGGGAGCCTCGTGGGCAGTGATGTGGCGATCTAGGAGGCGCTGGGAACCGTCTGGAACCGTTCTTGTGACCCAATGGGAAGAACCTGGCAATAGAAAATCTAAGGTTTTTGCCACGTGGGGCTGTCATCGGGATACTTTGGGGCCATGTTGAGGCTCGCTTGGAGCTCACAAACAACAGCTGCTGCGTGTTCCTGTTTCTTCTGACTGCTGTTGCTGCTGCTGCCGCTTGAAGGATATGTTTGGTGGTGCTGCTACAGCTTGCTAGACACTTCTTCTCCTGGCTACTGCTAGCTCTGCTGCTGGCCTGATGTGTCCGCTGGCTGGCCTTACATTTGTTCGTACACGCTGCACCCAGTATTGTGTTACAGATGACCTCGGGCTCCAGCTTTATCTCCTGCATCTCGCCCAGCAGCGCCACAGCCCGCTGCCACTGCTCGCCTCTCCCGCACGCGCTGATCCCAGCGCTGGAACTGAGTAGGGCTGACACGTGAACTCCGTCCACGTCAACCAGCATGTATGGCCTGCGGCATCGTCTGCAGTGGCGGCCCCCGTTGCGGACGACGACGACGACGACGACGACGACGACGACGACGACGACGACGACGACGACGACGGCGGCTCAAGCAATGTAGCGCGATCTATGGGGTCCAGGAGGAAGCCTTGGGAAACTTGCTGGGCGGGTGTGGGGGCTTGCTCGAGGCCTCGTGGAGCCCAAGATATTCCGCGCAGCCGGGAGGAAGACCAAAAGAGGCTCAAAGGAGGCTTGCGAAGGGCAGAAACGGACGCCCGAACGGCCGGAAAGAAGTTCCCAAGAGGGCGTCCGAAGATGCTCCCGGGAGGGGGGGTCGTACAAGGATCTCTGGGAGCAACTTGGGGGAAGCGCTTTGTGGAAGCGTGCCTAGCAGTCGGCAGGGGCATTCGCGAGGCCGTCTTCGAAGTCCTCGGGGCGCGTAACAGGCCCCATGATGCTCCGTGCATCCGGCTGTCGCCGTGGTCCTGCCATGGGCGGCTTTCGGATGGCGTCTCGGGGGCCTCTTGGCGCCCTCTTGCGCCGTAAGGAGCGCCTCTTCGGCCGTCTTGGGGGTCACTTGGAGCCGTCTTGGGCCGCCTAGAGCGCCTCTTGGGCCGTCTTCGGGCGGCTGGGGCCCTCGCCAGCCGGAGTGGGGCCGCCTTTGCCCGTCTTTGGGCCGCTCTGGGGCCGTCGAGGGCGCCTCTTGGGCCGTCCGTGGGCCGTCCTGGGGCGACGTTTGCCTCTTGGAGCTCTCTTTGGGGTCCTCTCGGAGCCCTCTTGGGGCGTCTTGGCGGCCTCTTGGGCCGCCATGCGGCCCTCCAGAGCGTCAGGACGCCGTCTTGGGGCCTTCCTCGGGGCCAGTGTAAGCCGTGGGGCGGCCGCCCGGGGGGCGCGTTGGGGCCAGCCAGCACGGTTTGTACCTCTTTGATTCCCCGCCCTTCTGGCACGCCGTGCTCCCGCCGTTGTGCTGTAGTGTAGATGACGTCGGTCTCCAGCTTCACATCCCGCATCTCCCTGAGCAGCGCCAAGGCCTGCTGCCACTGCTCGCCCTTCTCGCACGCACTGATCCCAGCGTTGTAGCTGACTAGGGCTGACCCGTGGACTCCGTCCACGACATCTTTCTGGAATGGTTCTCGGAGGAACGGCGCAGATTGTACCGAAAATCTACAAACACGGCGGCGGCTCGGGCGGCGGCAGCGAGACCGCGCCTTCGTGTCCGAGCTCTTGCAGCGCTGCAGCAGCTTGGCCCAGCGCACTGCTCGTTCACCCCCCTCCTATTGAGGACAGTTTCGAAGTCTCTCGGGGATGTGCGTCGAAGTCGAAGCCCATCTGAGGCGTCTCAGGAGCGCTCGGGGAAGGGCTCGGGAGGCCATCGGGGAAAGCCACCGAAAGCGCCGGGGAGGCTCGCAAGGATCTACAGGGAGGGCCCAAGAGAGCTTCAAGAAAATTTGAAATCCAGTGAACTCTTAAGAGAAACCGCTGTTGGGTCGGCCATCACCTCCGGGCGCGCCTTGATGGTGCGATCCAGTCGCATCACCGCCAACGGGAGGGTTTGTTCGCCATGTCCCATTCTGTTCGCCCAGAGGGTCTGTGGAGGCCTTCGGGCGAACAGAACGGGACAGGGCAAGGAATGGGGAAGACATGTCCGAATCTCCTGGGCCCCCCAGATGCTCGTCCGAAGAATGCGGAGAGGTCCCAGGGTCATATCAATTGGCTGCTGTCCCAGGGGTCCGGTCTGCTTGGCCCGAAGAGTTTGCCAAGGCCCCTGGGGGAACAGAATGGCACAGCATATCGGGCAAAGGGGGGCGGTAGCTGGCCTGTCAGACCCGGCGTTCGTCTTCTGCCCAAGCGGCGCGGGGCCCACGGGCCCCAGGGTTGGCGTCCCGCTGGGATTCCTCTTGTTCGCCCACAGGGTTGGAGGAGGCCTCCAGGCGAACAGAATGGGGCAGGACAATGAATGTGGGAGACTTGTCGCAAGCTCCCAGCCCCCCCAAGTGTGCGCCCGAAGGGTGTGGGGCCGCGTTGGCTCCCTCAAAGGGCCGTCTTGGAGCCGTCTAGGCCCGTCTTGAGGGCGCCGTTTGCCCTGATGGGGCCGTCTTGGTTCGTCGTGGGCCCCTCATGGGCGCGTCCGTAGGCCGTCCTGGGCCCATCGGGGTCCTCGTGGGGCTGTCTTGGAGCCGTCTGGGACCGTGAGGAGGCCGCCTTGGAGTCGTCTTGGGCCCCTCCTGTGCGCCTCCTTGGGCCGTCCTGGGCCCAGCAGGGGCCGTGTTGGCACCCTCTTGGGGCTGTCTTGGAGCCGTCTTGAGCCGTCGCAGCGCGCCTTGGGTTGTGCTGGGTCCGTCTTGGCCCGTCTTGGGGCCTTCCTGGGCGGTTCCTCGGACCCTCCTGGGACTTTCTGGGGCCTCTTGGTGCATCGGACCGCCGAAACGGCGGGAAACGCAAAGGGTGTAACAGTAAACAATGGAAAATTAACGATTTTTGCCAGCTGGGACTCTCTTGCCATCTTGGCCCGTCTTGAGGCCCCGAACGGGCGCGTCCTTGGGCCGTCCTGGGCGCACCCTCCTGGGACCGTCTTGGAATCGTCTTGGGCCGTCTTGAGCGCGCCTTGGGCCGTCCTGGGCCGGTCTGGGGCCGTGTTGGCACCCTCGCGGCGAGGAAGCTCGGAGGCGGGCTCGAGGCCTCTTCGGGGCCATTTTGGAAGCTGTTGGGGCCTCTGTAGGGGCCTCGTTTGGGCTCCTTGGGAGCCTCCTGGGGCCTCTTCGGGGGATTCTTGGCGGCCCCTTGGGGCCTCTTGGGGGCCTGTTTGGGCCTCCTGGCGCCCTCTTGGGGCGGAAGGCTCGGATTTTCGGTCCGTGGTCCCCCTCTTGGCCCCCTCTTGGGCCTGTCTTCGGGCCCTCGTGGGCCGTCTTGAGCGTCTCTTGGGTCGTCTTGGGGCCCTCTTGGGCTGTCTTGGGGCGCTCTTGGAAACCTCTTGGGCCGTTCTGGGGCGCTCTTGGAGGCCTCTTGGGCCGTCTTCGAGCGTCGGAAAGCGGAAAAGGCGAGAAGGCCAAAATCCTTCCAAAACCGTCGTAAAGCGGACGATTTTGAGGCCCAAAACCGTCCAAAACCTCCTGAGGCGGTCCCCTCGTCCGCCCCCCTCGCTTCGAAGCAGTTTTTAAGCCCCGTGGCACCTCTTGGGGATCTCTTTTGGGCTCCTGGGGGCCTCTTGGGCCTCCACTGGATTCGCTGCCCTCGGTCGGCAATCGTCGATCCTACGACGACTCTCCCCAACGGAGAAACATCGAAGGCCCTCGGAGCGTCCAACATTGTTCTTTTGTGCCTTCGATATGCCGGTCGCCTCTCGTCCGCTCCCCCCCTCCTGGAAGCAATTCTGAGGCCACTTAGGGCTTCGTGGGGGCCGTTTGGGGATCTCTTGGGGCGTTTTTGCCTGCGATATGCCTGTCGCCTCTCGTCCGCTCCCCCGCTCCTGGAGGGAATTCTGAAGGCACTGAAGGCTTCGTGGGGGCCGTTTCGGAGCCTCTTCGGCCTTCTTTTGGGCCTCCCGGGGGGGCTCTTAGGGCCCTCTCGGGCCGTCTTGGGTGCCTCTTGGGCCGTCTTGGGGCCGTCTGAGACCCGCCTCGGCGCCTCTTGGGCTGTCTTGGGCCGTCTTGGGCCGCTCCTGGGGCCGTCTTGGGTGCCTCTTGGGCCGTCTTGGGCGCCTCCTGGGCCGTCCTGGGGCCGTCCTGGGGCGTCTTGGGACCGTCTGGGGGCCCTCCTGGCCCGTCTTGGGGCTCTCTTGGGGTCCTCTTCGGCCGTCTTGGAGCGGTCGGGGGGACTTCTTGGGCCGTCTTGGAGCGTCGGGAAGCCGAAGAGGCGAGGAGGCCGAAAACATCGAAAAACACAGTAGAAATCGACGATTTCTGTCGCTCGGGGCCCTCTTGGGAGGCCTCTTGGGAGGCCTCTTCGGGCGTCTTGGACGCCTCTTGGGCCGCCTGGGGCGAATCTCGGGCGTCTTGGGCCCATCTTTAAGCATGCCGGGGCTCTCCGGGGCCGTCTTGGGGGCTTCTGCGGGGGCCCTCTCGGCGTGTCCTGGAGCCTGCCTGGGCGGCCCGGAGCGGCCCGGGGCCAGCCCGGGGCGGTTTTGACTCATTGGAGCCTGCGCCCTTCTGGCACGCACTGGGCCCTGCAATGTAGTAGAGACTAGGGCAGACCTGTGGACTCCGTCCACGACATCAGCTCGACGTGGCGAGGGGTCTCTGGGCAAGCGCGGGGGGGTGCGGCTGCAGGGCCGAAAGGCAATCATGATGGCGTCGGGCTCCAGCTTAGCTTTCCACTTAGGGCTTCGTGGGGGCCGTTTGGGGATCTCTTGGGGCGTTTTTGCCTGCGATATGCCTGTCGCCTCTCGTCCGCTCCCCCGCTCCTGGAGGGAATTCTGAAGGCACTGAAGGCTTCGTGGGGGCCGTTTCGGAGCCTCTTCGGCCTTCTTTTGGGCCTCCCGGGGGGGCTCTTAGGGCCCTCTCGGGCCGTCTTGGGTGCCTCTTGGGCCGTCTTGGGGCCGTCTGAGGCCCGCCTCGGCGCCTTTGGGCTGTCTTGGGCCGTCTTGGGCCGCTCCTGGGGCCGTCTTGGGTGCCTCTTGGGCCGTCTTGGGCGCCTCCTGGGCCGTCCTGGGGCCGTCCTGGGGCGTCTTGGGACCGTCTGGGGCCCTCCTGGCCCGTCTTGGGGCTCTCTTGGGGTCCTCTTCGGCCGTCTTGGAGCGGTCTGGGGGACTTCTTGGGCCGTCTTGGAGCGTCGGGAAGCCGAAGAGGCGAGGAGGCCGAAAACATCGAAAAACACAGTAGAAATCGACGCTTTCTGTCGCTCGGGGCCCTCTTGGGAGGCCTCTTGGGAGGCCTCTTCGGGCGTCTTGGACGCCTCTTGGGCCGCCTGGGGCGAATCTCGGGCGTCTTGGGCCCATCTTTAAGCGTGCCGGGGCTCTCCGGGGCCGTCTTGGGGGCTTCTGGGGGCCCTCTCGACATGTCCTGGAGCCTGCCTGGGCGGCCTGGGCGGCCCGGGGCCAGCCCGGGGCGGTTTTGACTCATTGGAGCCTGCGCCCTTCTGGCACGCACTGGGCCCTGCAATGTAGTAGAGACTAGGGCAGACCTGTGGACTCCGTCCACGACATCAGCTCGACGTGGCGAGGGGTCTCTGGGCAAGCGCGGGGGGGTGCGGCTGCAGGGCCGAAAGGCAATCATGATGGCGTCGGGCTCCAGCTTAGCTTTCCACTTAGGGCTTCGTGGGGGCCGTTTGGGGATCTCTTGGGACGTTGTTGCCTGCGATATGCCTGTCGCCTCTCGTCCGCTCGCCCGCTCCTGGAGGGAATTCTGAAGGCACTGAAGGCTTCGTGGGGGCCGTTTCGGAGCCTCTTCGGCCTTCTTTTGGGCCTCCCGGGGGGGCTCTTAGGGCCCTCTCGGGCCGTCTTGGGTGCCTCTTGGGCCGTCTTGGGGCCGTCTGAGGCCCGCCTCGGCGCCTCTTGGGCTGTCTTGGGCCGTCTTGGGCCGCTCCTGGGGCCGTCTTGGGTGCCTCTTGGGCCGTCTTGGGCGCCTCCTGGGCCGTCCTGGGGCCGTCCTGGGGCGTCTTGGGACCGTTTTGGGGCCCTCCTGGCCCGTCTTGGGGCTCTCTTGGGGTCCTCTTCGGCCGTCTTGGAGCGGTCTGGGGGACTTCTTGGGCCGTCTTGGAGCGTCGGGAAGCCGAAGAGGCGAGGAGGCCGAAAACATCGAAAAACACAGTAGAAATCGACGCTTTCTGTCGCTCGGGGCCCTCTTGGGAGGCCTCCTTGGAGGCCTCTTCGGGCGTCTTGGACGCCTCTTGGGCCGCCTGGGGCGAATCTCGGGCGTCTTGGGCCCATCTTTAAGCGTGCCGGGGCTCTCCGGGGCCGTCTTGGGGGCTTCTGCGGGGGCCCTCTCGGCGTGTCCTGGAGCCTGCCTGGGCGGCCTGGAGCGGCCCGGGGCCAGCCCGGGGCGGTTTTGACTCATTGGAGCCTGCGCCCTTCTGGCACGCACTGGGCCCTGCAATGTAGTAGAGACTATGATATGACTAGGACTGACCAGTGGACTACGTCGACGAACCCTGAACGGAACTGCCATGTCCTTGTGGACGGCTTCTGGCACGGACGGCCTCTTGGGGTGTCCAGGGGCCTCTTGGAGCCGCTTGGGGGCTCCGCTTGGGGGGGGGGCTCTTGGGGGCCCTGTCGAGCAGCTTGCGAAGCCTGCTCTGGCCAGATCGGGCCCTGCAGTCGGGGTTTATGGGAGAGGACACGCGAGAGGACACAAGACCCTTCCGAGGGCCACCCTGCCATAGGAATGAAGACGGCATGGGTCGCGAATCACAGGGCACAATGGTGCCCTTGATTTGGCATGGTCGACGTGCTTACCCAGACATGCGATGTCCGGATTTCTCCAACACGGGATCCCCGGAAGCCCCGACCCTCCTGTCCCCTTGGCCGACTCTTCACCCTGAGTCGTTCTTTGGCGGTCCGGGGCCCAGCGAGGGCCCCCAGAAGCCGAGAGCGACGAAACGCCTCCCGCCCGGATCCTTTCACGACGCGAGCACGTCTGGGCAGCAGCCCGGCGGAGCTGGGGCGCCTCCGTGGCCTCCCCGGGGGCGCCCGAGGGCCTCCAAGGGGGCCCGCGGGCCACGCCCGAGCCGCTCAGGGCATGCCTGCGGCATCTGGGACACGTTGCTGCTGTAAAGGGGCCCTGGGACACACAAATAAGAACACGCAGATGACAGGATTCCCCGTATGTTCCTATATTTTCTGGATTTTTGCCTTCCCCCCCACCTCTCATAATTAATATCCCATATGTTCTGGGGGATCGAGGATTTACTGTGTCTGCGTGCGTTTTTTTTTCCCCTCCTGAAAGAGTGGCCGACTGGCCGACTGGCCGACCAGGGAAGGGAGTCGGAGAGTTCACTGCGGTGCCTCGAGAGTGTTCCTGCTCCCCGAGCGGGGGGGTGCAGCCCAGGGCCGCTGCCTGGAGGCCCTCTTCTCGGCGAGCCTCGGGCGGCGAGGCGCCTGCCCAGACGTGCTCGCGCCGTGCAGAGGAATCTCGGCCGCGAGGCCCAGGGGGGGGAAGTGAGAAGGGCCTTCTCGATCTTGTTGCTGGGCCTGCCCCGAAGGCGCAGAAGACCTCTCAGAGGCGCGAGGGCTTCTGAGAAGTCCCGCCGCCTTCTGGGAAGGCCTTCACCTTCTCATTTCCCCCCCTCGCGCGCCGCCGAAAATCAGGACGGGAAGTTTTTCATCGTTTTCGGCCTCCGCGATCCCTGGCCGAGCCCCGGGACCGTCCTAGAACGACTGAGGATGAAAAGTCGGGCTCGGGGAAGGCAAAAAGGACTTGCGGGGACCCCGTGATGACATCGCATGTCTGGGAAGGCAATTCACAAGGGTCTCTTCGGGGCGCTCGGGCACCTCCATAGCCGTCTTTGGCCCGGCCGGGCCCGTTTGGCCCCCTCGACTAGAGACACTTTGACAATTCGCACGCTCTGCACCCAGCATTGTGGGATAAGTGACGGCGTGCTCCAGCTTCATCTCCCGCATCTCCCTGAGCAGCGCCAAAGCCTGCTGCCACTGCTCGCCCTTCTCGCACGCGCTGATCCCAGCGTTGTAGGTGACTAGGGCTGACCTGTGGACTCCGTCCACTTGCGGGGTGGAGGGAGTACTGCTGGAAGGCGCACCTGATGACGTTGGGCTCCTTGTTCGCCTGGCCAACGACGCTTGTCATGAGGACCCTCTCGAAACGCTCTCGGAGGCTTCATGGGCGCCGCTTGTTGTGCTGAGTGCTGCCTGCTGCTACTCGCTGCTGTTTGCTTTGTCGTTCTTCTGCTGCCGCCTGCGGTTTGACAGGTGTGGGCTGCTGCTTGCTACGGCTTGGTGCTGCTGCTAGCTTTTTGCCTGGTGCTGGATGTTGCTGCATGCTGCATGATGCTGAATGACGTTTGCGTTGTCAACGCGTGCTGCTGATGCTGCACGGCTCTTTAGTGTCTGCGAAATGCCTGTCGCCTCTCGTCCGCTCCCACCCTCCTGGAGGCAATTCTGAAACCACTTAGGGCCTCGTGGGGGCCGTTTCGGAGCCACTTGAGGTCTTCTGGGCTTCCCGGGGAGGCTCTTAAGGCCCTCTTGGGCCGTCTTGGGTGCCTCTTGGGCCGTCTTGGGGCCAGCTGAGGCCGGCTTGGGCGCCTCTTGGGCTGTCCTGGGCCGTCTCGGGCCGCTCTTGGGGCCGTCTTGGGTGCCTCTTGAGCCGTCTTGGGCGCCTCCTGGGCCGTGCTGGGGCCGTCTTGGGGAGTCGTGGGGCCCTCTTGGCCCGTCTTCGGGCTCTCTTGGGGCCCTCTTCGGCCGTCTTGGAGCTGTCTGGGGGACCTCTGGGACCGTCTTGGAGCGTCGGGAAGCCGAAAAGGCGAGGAGGCCGAAAACATCGAAAAACAAAATGGAAATCATGATTTTTGCCACTCGGGACCCTCTCTTGGGGCATCTTGGAGACCTCCGGAGCCGTCTTGGGCCAATCTTGAGCGTCTTGGGCTCATTTTTGGGTGTGCCGGGGCCCTCTGGGGCCATCTTGAAGGTCTCTTGAGGCCTTCCTTGGCGCGTCTTGGAGCGTCTCGGAGCGCGCCGGGGCCTGCTGGGGCCCGTCTTGGGGCCCTCTTGGCCCGTCTTGGGGCTCTCTTGGGGCCCTCTTCGGCTGTCTTGGAGCGGTCTGGGGGACCTCTGGGACCGTCTTGGAGCGTCGGGAAGCCGAAAAGGCGAGAAGGCCGAAAACATAGAAAAACGCAATGGAAATCATAGATTTTTGCCACTCGGGGCCCTGTTGGGAGGCCTCTTGGGAAGCCTCTTGGGGCGTCTTGGAGACCTCTGGAGCCGTCTTGGGCCAATCTTGAGCGTCTTGGGCTCATTTTTGGGCGTGCCGGGGCCCTCTGGGGCCATCTTGAAGGTCTCTTGGGGCCTTCCTTGGCTCGTCTTGGAGCGTCTCGGAGCGCGCCGGGGCCTGCTGGGGCCCGTCTTGGGGCCCTCTTGGCCCGTCTTGACGCTCTCCTGGGGGCCTCTTCGGCTGTCTTGGAGCGGTCTTGGGGACCTCTGGGGCCGTCTTGGAGCCTCGGGAAGCCGAAAAGGCGAGAAGGCCAAAAACATCGAAAAACACAATGGAAATCCACGATTTCTGCCACTCGGGACCCTCTTAGGAGGCCTCTTGGGAGGCTTCTTGGGCCGTCTTGGAGGTCTCTGGAGCCGTCTTGGGCCAATCTCGAGCGTCTAAGCCAATCTTTGGGCGTGCCGGGGCCCTCCGGGGCCGTCTTGGTGGCCTCTCTGGGCCCTTTTGGCGTGTCTTGGGGCCTCCCGAGGCGGCCCGGGGCGGCCCGGGGCCAGCCTGGGGCCGTAAAGGGACGAGAGATGTGCACTTGAGTGCCTGACCTTCTCGCACGCGCTTCCACCCGCCATGTAGGAGAGACTAGGGCTGACCCGTGGACTCCGTCCACGACATCTTTCTGGAATGGTTCTCGGAGGAACGGAAAAGATTTTGCCGAAAACCTATGCGCACGGCGGCGGCCGGGGCGGCGCCAGCGAGACCGCGCCTTCGTGTCCGAGCTCTAACAGCGCTCCAGCAGCTTGGCCGTCGCGGGGCCGCCGTCGTCGCCGTCATCGTCTGCGTCGTTGTCGTCGCCGCCGCGCGGCCGCCGTCGTACCCGTCGTAGTCGGCGTCGTTGTCGTGGTGGTGGTGGCGGTCGTCGTCGTGGGCTGTGAGCACTGGAAGGAGGCTGGCGACGTCGGTAGGACTGACCCGTAGACTCCGTCCACGAAATCTGCACGAACTGGCATCTGTTTATGGGGCCCGACCTCACATTCCGCGCATGCTACTGCGTGCTGCTGCTTACTGCCGCTTTTGTGTACTCTTGGTAGTGCTTGAGGTCGCTGCTGAGTTTTCTTGCTGCTTGTGGCTGTAGGTTGTTGCTGATGGCCAGTTCCGCTTGGTGCGTGCTTCTACCCGCTGCCTGCTGCTGCTTGCTGCTGCTGTGTGCCGCCGCTGCTGCTGTCTGCTTCGGGCCCATGGGAGAGATCGATGCTGCCCCAGGGCACTCGAAATGTCTCACGGTGAACTGTGCATGGGGGCTCACTGTGGACGCGCAGGGAGCCACGTCCTTTCGGGCGCCGTCTCCGCACCCCTCTGGGATCAGACTGTGTTGGGGACTCCGCTCCCTGGAGGCCTCTGGTGTATCTCGCCTCACTTGGGCGGCAGCGGCGAAGGGCGCCCTGGAGCAGCGCCCGTGCTGCTGCTCGTTATTCGGCGCTCTTTCGCTCGCGCCCACACCCACGGAGAAGGGCAGCGCTCCCAATGCGGCCACTAATGGCGGGCGCTTCCTTCTCCTTGGGAACCGTTTGGGGGCCTCTCGGGAGTTCTTTTCGGCCTCCTGGGCTTTGGGACCCTCTTGGACCGTCTTGCGGCCTCCAGGGGGATTCTTGGGGCCCTCTTGGGCCGTCTTGGGTGCCCCTGGGCCGTCTTGGGGCTGCCTGGGACTGTCTTGGACGCCTCTGGGGCCGGCTTGGGGCTGTCTTGGGGCCGTCTTGGGCCGCTCTTGGGGCTGCCTTGGGTAACTCTTGGGCCGTCGCGGGAGCCTCAGGAGCGGTTCTGGGGCCGTCTTGGGCCGTCCTGGGGCCGTCTTGGGCCGTCTTGGGGCCCTCATTGGGCGCTCCTGAGGAGTCCTGGGGCGATCTTGGGGGCGTGAATTGTCCTCATGGACGCTCTGAAAACAACAAAAAGCACGGGAATTGCGAAAATGTACGCTGTCCCTCGGGATTGGGACGATTTTTGCTTGTGCGGGCTCTCTTGGGGCTCGTCTTGGAGCCCACTTGGAGCGTCTCGAGAGCCTCTTGGGCCGTCGGGAGGGTTCGGGCGTCTTGGATCGCTCTTGGACCTTTTCGGAGACCCTCTTGGGCAGTCTTGGGGCCCTCGTGGGGGTCTCCGGGGGCGCCTCGGGGTGCTCTGGGCCACCTTGGAGCGTCTCGGAGCGCGCCGGGGCCTGCTGGGGCTCGCTGGGGCCTGCTACGCGAATCTCCTTTTTCGCACGCGCGGGGCCCTGCATTGTAATATAGACTAGGGCTGACCCGCTGCCTTCCGGCCGCGGAGTCTGCCCGCCATGGTGTGGACTCCGCACCGGGGCCGCTCAGGCGCTCAGTGCACGGGAGGATCACCGATAGGATGCTTGAGTAACTGTCCGTTGGGTTTACTTGGGCCGCGCGTTAGTCAGGAGCCTTCTCGGGGTGTCTGGACACTCTTGGGGCCCTCTTCGGGGCATGCTGGGGACATCTTGGTGGCTCCTTTCGGCTTGTTGGCCATTTTGAGCGCCCTCCTCGTCCTCCCCTGGATCCTTCATCCCGTCGGTCTTCGTTAGGAGCCGTCTCGGCAGGCCTGGACCTTCTAGGGGTATCCTTCGGGTCATGCTCGGGACACATCGGTGGGTCCTGTCGGCTTGTGGGGCAATTGTGGGCGTCCTCCTCCTCGTCACTCGATCCTCCCTCCCGTCGATCTTCGATCGTCAGTTGCCAACGCTCCCCAAGAGAGAAGCATCGAAGGCCTCCTGGGGGCCGTGTAGGGACCTCTTTTCGTCCTCCTGGGGGTCTCTCGAAGCCCTCTTGAGCCGTCTGGAGTGCCTCTTGGGCCTTCTTGGGGCGATGTGGGGCCGTCTGGGGTGCGTCTCGGGCCATCGTGGGGCCATCTTCGCCGCGATTGGGCGCTCTTGGGGTTGTCTTGGGTGCCTCTTGGGCCGTCTCGAGCGCCTCAGGAGCCGTCGTGGACGCGTCGAAGATGACAAGCACGATAATACCAAATATGTGAATCTTCCAACAGGAATGGGACGACTTTTGCGTCTCGCGGCTGTGCTGGGGAATCCTCGAGGGCCGTCTTCGAAGGCTTCTGGCCTGCCCTGGGGGCCCTTGGCTTTGAGGCCGTCGGAGCGGCCTCTTGAGCGGCTCGGCACGCCCCTGGGGCAGTCGAGGTGGCCTTTGGAGCGGCTCAGAGCCGTCTTTAGGGGGCCACGTGCGAACCCTACCCCCGCCCCCCACGATTTCTGGGGGGGAGGGTGGGGTTCACCTCGCTCGGGAGCTCCCGAACGAAGTGAACCCCACCCTCCCCCTCAGAAATCATAGGGGGGTAGGGGTAGGGTTCGCACGTGGCCCCCTAGTCTTGGGGTCGTGGGGGCGCCCTCTTGAGGGGTTCGCGGCCGTCTTCGGGCCATCGGGGCGGCCTCTGGAGCGTCTCGGAGCCGGGGCACCCTCTTCCGCGGCTCGGAGCCGCCGGAGGGCGCTCGGTGCAAAGACCCTTGTCGCACGCACCGCTCCCAGCCTTGCGGGAGAGACCAGGGCTGACCTGTGGACCACGGCAGGGGCTCGACCACAAGAAACCTTCCACGAGAAACCCAACCCGGAGACCCCAGGACGTCCATGGATTTGTGTTTTGGTGTGGGAACGTCACGCCTCTCATGGCTAAACCATCGAAGCCCAAGAAACCCAGGGCACCCTGGAGGCGAGCAGGGTGTTTCTTGGCATAGGCCCCCACTGTACGTTCACTTGCGGGGGGAGCAGGTGGTGCCGCCAGGAGCACTCGATAGAGTGGGGCCCCGTGCTCGCT